GAATAGAATAGAATAGAATAGAATAGAATAGAATAGAATAGAATAGAGGAATGAAGAATAGAATAGAAATAGAAATAATAGAAATAGAATAGGATAGGATAGGATAGAGGAATGAAGAATAGAAATAGAAATAATAGAAATAGGATAGGATAGAATAGAATAGAATAGAATAGAATAGAACAGAACAGAAATGGTGGGGTGGAGTGGAATAGAATTAGAATTAGAATTAGAATAGAATAGAATAGAATAGAATAGAATAGAATAGAATAGAATAGAATAGAATAGAATAGAAATATTGGAATGAAGAAAACAACAGAATAGAATAGAATATGAATTAAGAATAGAATAGAATAGAAAGGAATAGGGATAGTGTTAGTGTTTGGGGATAAACCCCTAGCAGAGTATGCAGCAGCAGTCAAGCCAGGCAGCCAAATGAGAGAGGAAGGGTTTTAGAGTATACACACACTGAACACAAACACTGTTTGTAGTTTAAATAGTTTTTAATCCAGTTAGAGTTTAAGCATTGTCAATCAGTCCGTATGTCATCCACAATATATCCATTCAGTAAGACTCACTAACTCAGTCCAGATAATAGTCCTTACTATATCTTTATCAGCCGATAAAGATATCTTCTCCTCCTCCGATGCCTTTCTCCAGAAGATAACGCTGGATATTCAGTAGAACGATCAAACAGTAGACAGTCGCAGTAAAACAGTAGTAAACAGTTGTATCCAGCAGTAAACAGCAAACGGCAAACAGTAAAACAGTAGGCAATAGGCAGTAGGCAGCAGGCTTTCTCCTGCTTCCTCTTATTGCAGTTTCTAACCGCACCCTTAATTGGCTAATTACATGCAGTGTGGTGCTTAAAGTTACAAACACTTAAACTATGATACCTTAGTTTATATATTTATCCATCCAAACCTTGTTGGGTATCAATGTTATACCTAACAGATAGGAACAGAAAGGAACAGAACATGAATTAGGAATAGAATAGAGCAGAGTAGAATAGAACAGAGATTAGAATAAAATAGAGTAGAATAGAAAATAGAATAGAATAAAGTAGAATAGAGATTAGAATAAAGTAGAACAGAGTAGAATATTGGAATGAAGAATAGAATAGAATCAGGGGTGGGATTCAACCAGTGTTACTACCAGTTCCCTGACTATGTTTTGCGTGCGCACCGGACAGCTGAAAAGCGCTGCGCGCAGAGCGTACAGCGTTTGAAAAGCCTCTTTTTCCCTGCTTTTTCAACCTCAGCTGTGCTGCGCAAAGCAGCTTGAGGTTGAAAAAGCAGGAAATAAAGGACAGGCAAGAGCCGGGGGGGGCGGGGGGGCTAAACAGCAGCAAACACAGAACGTATGCCATAGGTTTGCCATCACGGCTCTAGAAAGAGGGCAGAGAAAGGCAACAAAAATGATTAAGGGACTGGAGTCTAAAACATATAAAGAATGGTTGCTGGAATCAGATATGTTTAGTTTAATGAAAAGGAGGACTAGGGATGACATGGTAGCAGTCTTCCAATATTTATTGGGTTGCCACAAAGAAGAGGGAGTCAAGCTATTCTCCGAAGCACCTGAAGGCAGGGCAAGAAGCAACGGATGGAAACTAATCGAGGAGAGAAGCAACCTAGAACTAAGGAGGAATTTCCTGACAACGAGAACAATTAACCGGGGGAACAGCTTGCCACCAGACGTTATGGGAGCTTCATCACTGGAGGCTTTCAAAAAGAGATTGGACAACCATTTGTCTGGAATGGTCTAGGGCAGTGATGGCGAACCTTTTCGTTGTTGGAAACTAATCAAGGGGAGAAGGAACTTAGAAATAAGGAGGAATTTCCTATCGGTGAGAATAATTAATCAGTGGAACAACTTGTCTCCAGAAGTTGTGGGTGCTCCATCACTGGAGGTTTTTAAAGACTGGACAGCCACCTATCTGAAATGCCATAGGACCTCCTGCCTAAGCAGAGGGTTGGACTAGACCAGGGGTCCCCAACCTTTTGGACCTCAGGGACCCCCAAACTCATCATTTTAAATCTCGTGGACCAGAGACCCTGGGGAAATCCCCCAAAAAGTCAGCAGGAAAATCCCCCACCCAGTTTTCCTACCAGTTGATCATTCTTTATTTGGGATGGCAGGATGCCGTCTCCAGCTCTGTTCTGGGCGGAGGGGGGGAGAGAGACTTTTGGCCTCATGCAAGGAAAGCAGCAGAAGTCTTTCTGTCTCTCCCCCAAACTCCGCCAGAAACGAGTCTTTGCTGGTGTAGCCTCTTGGAGCAGGAGGCCTTGCAGGGTCATTTCTGGCAAGAGTTTTGGGGGAGAGAAAGAAAGACTTTGGCTGCTTTCCTTGTGTGCAGCCCAAAGCAGAAGAAGAAAGAAGTGGAAAGAAGCAGCCTGGTGGCCAGGCCAGGCATGTGGGGCAAGTGGGCAAGTTCCCTCCCTCCACCCTTTCCCCCCTCCCCTCACTACCTCGTGTTGTTCGCAGTGCAAGCAACGCAAGCCTTGTGTTCCCGTGCAGCCTGGATTAATTGCTTTGGGGCGGACATTTCTTTGCGGACCACCAGTGGTCCCCGGCCCACTGGTTGGTGACCCCTGGACTAGAAGACCTCCAAGGTCCCTTCCAACTCTGTTTTCTATTCCATAATGTGGAAACTTTCTATCCATTATTTGAGTGATTTTTAGAAGTTTTCTCCACTCCCTACTTCCCCCAAAACTTTTGTTCTTGGTTTGGCAAAATATATATATATATATTTTTCTGATTCTTTCCTAGACTTTTCCTCCAGTCCCCGTGAAACCAGATTATACCTTCCATGGCAAGATCAAAGACCGAGCATCCTTTCTACCCATGGCGGAAAAACCGTGTCCTGCTTTCGTGGCCCCAATAAAAGGCAAGGATTTATCACCGGGATGGGTGGGTGGGAAAGAAATCCAAGTCTTTCTTGGGTTGAGTTCCAGTAATTTTTTGAAAACGGATGACTTCTAGTTTTGAAGATCCTGGAAGCCAAGGAGGTGATTGAAGGTGGCCAGGTAGCCTTTGGGATCAGAGGTTCAGAAAGAGAATACCTGCTTTCTTTTATCCTAGTGTTCAGCTCATGGGTTAATAATCCCACAGTTACAGGAACATGGATTCAAGTTGAACGTTAGAAAAATTATCTCAAGACAAGAACGGTTTGACCCTCAACATCTAATTATCTAGGGAGGTAAAATTATCCAAAGATAAGGACGTTGACACTCAACACCTGGAATGGATAGAGCTAAAATTACCTAAAGATAAGGATGTTTTGATCCTCAACGCCTATTATCTAGAGAGATTATGGGAGCTGGGTGGATTAATTTGAGTTGCTTTGATTTGGATTCCTGTGTCGAACAGAGAGTTGGACTTTGAGGCCTCTTCTAACTCTGCAGGTTTGATAAGAAGTTACCTAGCTCAGCTTTTTCATCACGTAGTTGTCATTCTTGAGTAGACACTGGTCCTGGGTGTGTGTTTCTCAGTTTTTGGGTTGATGTTGAAAAATAGAGTAGAGTAGAATTAGAAATAGAATAGAATAGAATGGAATGGAATAGAACATATAGAATAGAATAGAATAGAATAATAAATAAGAGAAGGGAAGAGAAGAGAAGGGAAGAGAAAACATGGAATGGAACAGAACAGAATAGAATTTTTTTTTTGGCTAAGTGTGATTGGACAAACAAGGATTTTGTCTCCGGTGAATAAGTTCACAATGAACATATAAACAGCAACTAATACATCATAAAATGTCTTTTTTCCCCCTTATTTTTATTTTATTAAAAAAAATTAAAATTCAGAACTCCAAATTTTTTAACAAAGCAAACAAAACAAGTAATGCAAAAAATGTGCATTAAAAAAGTAAACGACACATAAAAGTATGCACCTTTTATCTCCTCTAGTTGAATACTGATAACTACATTACAACGATGTTAGTTTCCCACCCCTTGGGAAGCAAGCCCCGACATCATTTAAACTTCTGATTCTATTTCCAGATTATTAACTTGTCATTTAACAACTATATTAATAACGAAATGGTTAACAGGTAAAACAATAATTTTTAAAAAATCAAGGTTAAAGTTTCAAGACCCTCTGTTAGCAAACTGTTATTGTAATCGACTCGTGGAGAGCTTACTACGGCTACTTATCTATGATGTTGAACAATGTTGTAACTCCTAAAGAAATGCACCTAGGTGTATTGGGTCTTCATCTGCGTCCACCTGTCAGCTACCCAGAAGCCCAGCCTGATGGCTCAAGATTCAACCCACCAAAGTAAACAACCCATAAGTACAAACGTTCTGGAGGAAACCAACGTTGAGCGATGAGTGATTTCACTTAACAACTCTTGGTCTCCAGAAACAGCAGTCTGCCCCTCTCCTTCCTCGTTGCTACTGTCTCTCTTGCAGAGGTAGTAGTAAAAGGTGAGCACTCCCCCCCCCAACTGAAAGAACAGGTCAGCAACCTATATTCCAGGGCTGTGTAAGCCTTGGAGATTTTTAAGAGTTTTGGTGTCTACTTCTGACTTTGCACGCTGAAAGCCAGGACCACAGATCTTCCCCATCTTGAGTTGACTTGAGTTGACTTGTTGACTTGAGGAAGGAGGAGAGCTGTGTTACAAGGACCTTGAGCTGGAAACAGACCTGCTAAAACCCACCTTTGCTGGCTTCCGTCGCTCCGATGGCCAACCCAAGGTAGTCCACTTCTGCCAAAACCACGCCATAGGGATCGATTGGTTGACTTCACCACAGATTTGCTTAAGGAGCACGGATTCACTTAAGATCCACTTAACAATCACTGTCAACAAGGTCATAACATCCGATCAGTTGTGTAATTGGTGGTGGGTTTTTTTTTTTGACCCTAATGAGTTACTGCTGTGAGTGGTGCAGTGGCCGAGTGGTGGCGCTCTCGCCTCACAATCTGGGGGCTGTGAGTTCGATCCTGGGTAGAGGCAGATATTTCTCTCTCCAGGCACGTTGAGAATATATCCGTGGAATATAACTGCATTGGCAACAGGAAAGGCATCCGGCCAGTAAACACTCGGCTCCATTCAGTTGCGCAGACTCCACCCCACAAGGGATTCCTGGGGGTCATTAAAAGAAGATGATGCTGAGTTACTGCTGTGATGGCCAGCTCTGTTATGGTCGTAACCTGAGGACAACCTGAATATGGAGAAGAAGGCCATTCGAAAGTGCCAGTCCCAAGGACCGTATCTGAATCCTCGTAACCCTGGCTAGTGTTGAGGTGCTGACCTTCCAGACAGCTGCCCAGATGTCTACCAAGTGGAAGGGAAGGCTGGGCCCTTGGAGTGCTGCTGCTTCTTCAGTGGGGCTGATGGATGGTCCTTCTGTGGCTCCTTGGTTGATCATTGTTCTCTTGGTGATGTTCCTTCTCTCATTCCAGTGATTTGCCAGATGGAGGGAAGCGGTCAGTGGCCTCGGAACAAGGAGGCCATTCAGTGCATCAAAGCCGCTTTCCAGATGCAGCTGGCAGAAGTCCTGAACCAGCAACACCATCTGCTGTGCCGGCCAACTGCCACCTACACCGATATACATAAGGTAATCCTCCTCCCTCCCTCCTTCCCTCCCTCCCTTCCTTCCTTCCATCCATCCATCCTTCCATCCATCCATCTCTATTAACTTCCTCCTTCACTTTGTTCTCTATTCCTTCCTTCCTTCCATCTCTATTCTTCTCTATTATCTTCCTTCCTTCCATCCATCCACCCACCTCTATTATCTTCCTTCCTCCCTCCCTTCTCTATTCCTTCCTTCCTTCCATCCATCCACCTCTATTATCTTCCTCTCTTCTCTATTATCTTCCTTCCATCCATCCATCCTTCCATCTCTATTATCTTCCTCCCTCCCTCCCTTCTTTATTATCTTCCTTCCTTCCTTCCATCCATCCATCCATCCATCCATCTATATATTATCTTCCTTCATTACCATCTCTGCACAGAATAATATTTCCCTTATTATATCACTTTCTGCGGGGGTATCTCTCCATTCTTCCAGTTTTGGGCATTCACCAATCTCGCAGCTGTTATGATATGTATCATTAAATATATTGTTCCTTTACTGTATTTCTCATTAATAATTCCCCGTAAGAACTCTTACTTTTTCTGGTTAACCACCTCTTCTATCCAAACCTTTGTTTTTTGGGGGGTATTTCTGTAGGATGGCTACGTCTTCCGCCTTCAAGTGGCCTACCACCGGGAATCCCAGATCCTAAAGGAGTTGGTCACCCCTGAAGGGATGCTGAAGTACCAGGACACCCCAGAATCTCAGCAGCTGGAACTGGAGACTTTCCATTTGCCCTTCTTGACTAGCTCGCTCCACGGGTAAGAGACCAGAGCGTTCTCTACTTGGATCCGGCCTTCTTGGCGCTCTTTCGGGGGGATATACACGTGGTCCTCAACTTGCAACAGTTCATTTTGTGACCCTTCCAAGTTAACAACAGCACCGGAAAAAAAAAGGATTTTTGTGTGTATGTGAGACCGCTTTTCCCAGTGAAAACCTTTGCAAGCATCCCCATGATCCAAATTCTAGACGCTTGGCACACTGTTTCGTACTTACGGCGGTTGTCGCGTCCCGAGGTCGTGCGATCCCCCCTTTGCAAACTTCTGAGGGGCAAAGTCAAGAGGGAAGCCAGATTAGCTTAGACCACCCGGGATACTAATTTAGCGGACACGGTGGATTCACGTAACCCCTGTGGCAGGAAAGGTGGTAGAATGGGGCAGAACTTGCTTAACAAATGTCTCGCTTAACTAAGACAGCAATGTTTGGCTCGATTGTGGTTGTAGGTTGAGAACTACCTGTATGTTCTTTTTAGGGGGAATGAGGGAAGAAGGGGGTATTTGGTGGTGGTGGTGGTGTCCTTGGTGATATCTAAGCTTGGTAGTTTCTTGCTGACGTTTCATGACCCAGCTAGCACTGATGATGTTCCCTAGTTGGGTCATGAAACATCTGCAAGAAAACCATCAAGCTCAGAGAGCTCCAAAGACACCATAGTTCTCCTCCTCCTCCTCCCCCTCCTCCTCCTCCTCCTCCTCCTCCTCCTCCTCCTCCTCCTCCCACTGATGATGTTTCCTAGTTGGTCATGAAACATCTGCAAGAAAACCATCAAGCTCAGAGAGCTCCAAGGACACCATAGTTGTTCTCCTCCTCCTCCTCCTCTTCCTCGTCCTCCTCGTCCTCCTCCTCCCACTGATGATGTTTCCTAGTTGGTCATGAAACGTCTGGAAGAAAACCAAGCTCGGAGCTCCAAGGACACCATAGTCCTCCTTCTCCTATCTGCCTTATTATTTTTTGCCACCAAAAAAGGCACCAGGTCTTATTTTCAGGGGATGTCATCCACTAATTAACCTCACCTGTGCGCATCACCCGCCGCCTCCTTTTCGCTGTCACAGGCCTTCAGGAACTTCTTCTTCTGAGGCTGGCAAGGCTTTCCTGAAGGCCTCTGCAGCCGATAAGAGAGCTCAGGATCGATCCAGAGCTTTGTTCTCCGCTACAGAGGCCTTCAGGAAAACCTCGCCAGCCTTGCCAGCTGCAGAAGAAATGGGCCAGCAAGGCAGGTGTCGGGGGATGCGAGGCCTGGCTACACCTGTCTGAAGGTAAGGAGTAGGGCAGCTCCGCCCCCTCCATCCCCACCCTAGCTTAATTTTTACCCATCCACCCTGGAGTGGGTGAGATCTTAATTAGGGCTTATTTGCGGGGTAGGGCTTATATTGGGCACACGTTTAAAAACCAAGCTAAGACTTACTTTCAGGGTAGGTCGCATTTTCGGGGAATATACAGTAAATATATAAATAAAATGATCCAGACAATACGCTGTTCACTAAGCACTTTCTTTTTTTCTGTGCCATTCTGACTTGGATCGGCCACTAAAGGAACTGTTGTAAGTCGAGGACTGCCTATCATTCATTTTGAGACACCTCCTCCTCCCCTCTGTCGGGAGATCAAGATCCCTTCCAGCAAGAATTCACTTGCTGTTCAATCGAGTTAGGATCGTTGATCTTCCAAATAATCCTAGTCCCGATCCCGTTGCTTTTCTTCCCAAACAGGCTGCATCAACAATATCCGGCTTTTAGCGGCAGCTGCCGTCTCGCCAAGCGATGGATCAACGCTCAGCTACTCAGCGACAGCCTCACGGAGGAGGCCGTGGATTTATTAGCGGTTTTCCTTTTCCTCTCTCCAGCTCCCTTCACGGCACCCAGGTGAGAAGCCCACTTGATACCTGCCCTTTCGGCTTGTTTCTTTGATTATACCTAGAGGTGGGGAACAATGGCTCCTTTATGACTTGGGGACTTCAACTCCCAGAATGCCTGAGC